GTGGACCGTAAACTCATCCTGCACGAATTATCTTCCTTGGCTTCTCTGAGAGCGGGACGAACACCAACCCAAGATCAGGAGGTACAGAGAAGAATCCCTGAGAGGGAGGATCTCTCTTCCTCTTCTCCACCCGTGGCTTGCTCGGCGCCGGCGGGCACACAGAGGGCCGCTCCTCTTTCTCATCCAACCTCCTGGGCGTCATACATGGATCTTCCCTCTCCTCCTTCTCAGGGAAAGCGTTGGCGGTGGGATCAGGTTGCTGGAGATCTACGGCGCCTTCTCCGAGCTTGCTGGTCCGCATGTGGGCAATCTTTGGCAGCTCCACCGCCGGATCTTGAGAATCCATTGCTGTGGGGGGGCGGGGGGAGGCTATGAATGGAGGACGTTGAGCGACCACATTTGATGAAGGCGGAGGACGAGTGAAGGAAAGAAAGATGCAGACCGGGGGTGGCTCTCTGGAAGACGAGGAAACGGAATTCCAGAAGCAGAGGTGCAGTTTACAGCCTCCGAACAGGCAGCGGTAAAAGTAGTGGTAAGGGCGGCCGTAGTACCAGTAGATGAAGAAGAAGTACGAGACAATGACGAGGAAGAAGGAGAAGAAGGTGGTTAAAGATAGAGAGGAGGACGTGAATGAAGGACGCTGGGAGAGAGACAGCAACAGAGGGTGAGAACGACGAGAGAGAGAGAGAGAGAGAGAGATGACCAAATGATTGTGGGGACGAAATGGGGAGGGAGAAAGGTTTACGAAGGTACAAAGGAGAGAGAAAAAGAGAGGAAGAAAACGAGGAGCCAAGCGGTGTTTAACTAAGCCTACGCGGACGTAGCTAAGCCGTTCATGTGGAAGACTAACCGACGCACACCCCGTCTATCTCTTCCCATCATCTTTCTCCCATGTTGCCATGAGGGACCCATCGCTACCAACTCCCCAGCAGCGCAGTCGAAGGGAGGAATGGCATCTCAGAGAACAATTCGAAGTCACCCCGCCGCCTCCGCCGTCACCACCGCCGCCGTCAGTTGATGTCAAAAGCTCCTCGTGCCACTGCCCGGGCACAAATTTTTAAATCTGTGGGGATCGGAGAGCCCACCCTTCTTCCCTCTCTTTCTCTCTGTCCTTCGGCCGCAGCCAGAACGGGGGCGAGGAGAGATATTGGCGTGAGATTATTAATCAAGGAGACCAGAAGAAGGATAAGGGCGGGGGGGGGAAGGTGGTGGCAAATTCGTGCCATCCGCTTCAAGGATCTATGATGGCAGGGCGGTGAATCCACGTGTCATGGCAGCTCTCCGGCAATGGTCCCCTGCTGAACCCACCGACAGCAAAGACAGACAGGTGAACTGTCGGGTAAACAAGAAAGGTAACGTACTATGATAGGCCCATGTTCTTTCTCTCTCTCTCTCTCTCTCTCTCTCTCTCTCTCTCTCTCTCTCTCTCTCTCTCTCTCTCTCTCTCTCACACACACACACACACACACACACACACACCTGAAAGCGCAAAGAAATAAAAACAAGAAAGAAAAGAGGATGTGGGGTGTCTCTCGTCTGATCCTGAGCAACAGGCCAACCTTAGATAACCAAGCGTTGAAATACCTACACCGTGATCTCATAAGAGTTGATCAGATGGGCGGGCTTCTCTCGTCTGCTCCTGAGGAACGGAACCATCAGAAAATTTGAAGTTTTTAACCGCTCGCCTTCCTCGCCATGAAATTTTCGAAGTTTTTACACCGGGATCTCATAAGAGTTGATCAGATGGGCGGCCCATCAGAAAATTTGAAGTTTTGACTGCATCGTCTTCCTTATATCTCCAACGCGACTGGTCCATCAAAGTTTACCGTTCTCCCACTACATGTGGAGTCAAAGCGAGGAGTACGGGGGAAGGAAGGCCCAACGGGCTCTTTGGGACCGTGTAATCCGATGGGTATGCTCTTTAAACAAACACCATCGCAATCTGACCAAGGATTGAACTAGAAGCTATCGCATTTCAAGGAGGAGGAGGTGGACCCAACAGTAGAGTGATGAAGGAAGAGAAACTCGCGATTTAGTGTGCTCCAAGGAACGAGGGAGTCAGTGAGCAAGGCATCAGATCAAGAGAGAAGGAGGCGCAGAAGAAAAGACATCTCTTTTGTTTTCACAGCCTGGCTTCCTTTTTACGTCAGGAAGAAGATGAAGATGAAGAATCAAGGGTCTCCCCCACCAACACAAGGAAACAATATGAGACAGCTAGAGATGTGCTCTCTTTCTCTCTCTCTCTCTCTCTCTCTCGCTCCTCAGATGCAGCCAAGGAAACGTATGATGAGGCCATATAATTGGGCAGGTGCCAACGTGCACATGGAACGATCTATCACAGGCTGGACACGTAACACAACCACAGTCCAAGGAGGGCATGTTCTCATCAGGCCTTCCTACCGAAGAACTCAAGAAGAGAGGGAGGACAACGAGACCAGGAAACTGTGTCCATCATTTAAGTTTTCATGAAGGCAAATTAGGAAATGCATAATTCCAGCAAACTATGTTGGGCCATCACTTATTAACAGCTATTTTATTTTCTTCAAGAATACCCTCGAAAATTATTTCACCAAAATAGATATTATGATAATTCATTTGTTCATTAAATAATGTAATTCCGTCACGTTAATCACAGCCATTTCCTATTTTGTGGAAATAGTCTCAATTGTTGAGATAATAATGATAGATAAATGGTGAATATTTGACGAATTTTTGGAATCTATTATGTAATATTATGTGAAAAAGGTTTCATACATTTATAAAATTGTTGATAAATAATGGATTCTTTTAATAGTTTGTGGAAGCACTCTCAAATTTTATAATTGTAGATGAACAGTGAATATTTGATAAATTACTACGATCAACCAGTTAAGTTGCTGTCTCCGTATTATACATCGTTGAAGAATTTTAAGAGATTATTAAATCGCCTTATTTTTGTAACCAGACGATTTGTTCACCCTCAATTATGGAGAGGACCAAGGATGATAGTGATGAACATTGCCGCCCCGGTCAACTCGCCCATAGCTCACCTAGCCCTCTGATCCCAAAGTGGGTTTACCGAAGTGGCGATTCCTTGCCGTAGTCTCACTCTTCCGCCGTCCTCGTCAGAACAAAGTCGGTCATAGCGGATCACGTAGAGTGCCCGGAGGATCGGATGCTCCCCACCCAGAACGAGCGAGTGAGCGAACGAGAGAGAGAGAGAGAGAGAGAGAGAGGGGGGAGAGGGAGAGGGAGAAGGAGGGGAGCTTGTTTAGACCTTGGTCCATCGTTCTTAAGGTCCCCCACATTGGGGCTCTGACAGAAGAAATAACTAAGCTTCGCTGAAGTAGAATGGCATCTCCAGTAGTGCATGCCATCCGGCTCGACCGAATGAACCACTGAAGGGTATGTTAGGATGTCAGGGCAGAGAGAGAGAGAGAGGCTGGGTGGGGGGCTCGTTTAGACCTTGTTTCTATTGTATCTTAAGGTCCCCACATTGGGACCCCGTCAGAAGTAATAACTAAGCTTCGATGCTCGTTTAGACCTTGTTTCTTAAGGGCCCCCACATCTATTAACCATAGGCGTATGAGAGCTTCTCCAGTGGTGCATTTCGTTCAGCTACACCGAGTGACAGGAATGACAGGAAGAGAGAGAGAGAGAGAGAGAGAGAGAGAGAGAGAGAGAGAGAGAGAGAGAAGGGAGGGGAGGGGAGGTGGATGTGGGGGTGTTTAGAACTTCCTTTATTGTACTCACGGTCTCTCACATTAGGGGCTCCGCCAGAAGAAATAATTACCACACTGTAGAACCCAATTAACCAATGGTGTATGAGAACTACCCCCGGTTGAGCATGGCGTGAATCTCCAGAAGATTAACGTCAACGAAACTCAACCGAATGGATTGCTCCAAACTTCCAATGTCGTCGATTAGTCAAAGCTCAACCCAGCCAAATCATTTCCCTACTGCACCTGATTGGTCAACTCTCTCTCTCTCTCTCTCTCTCTCTCTCTCTCTCTCTCTCTCTCTCTCTCTCTCTCTCTCTCTCTCTCTCTCTCTCTCTCTCTCTCTCTCTCTTTCATTGAGGCCGTCCACATGCGTGGGCACTAAACCAAGGATCACAAGAACAAACAAATCGACGTGGATATTTAAATTACAGTGAGTGAGAGAAAATTCCCCCCCGCCCCTAGGGAAACGCTTGGGCGTGCCTGCCGACTCCCCACTTCACAAAACAATTCCATTTAATGCGCAGAACGAAAGAGAGGAACAGGACAAGGGAGCCCGCCATGGCTTCAAGCTCCCAGGACGGACCCCACCCCCGCGCTCGGAGACAAGCCAAGAAAATGGAGGAACCAGGAGATGGTAAGAACAGCAGTAGAATATGGACTTGATTTGCTCCCCAGAACGTGCCTCTCTCTCTCTCTCTCTCTCTCTCTCTCTCGCTAAGCCTCTAATCTATCTATCTGTGTAAATATGTATCTGCCTCTGTGTTTCTACTTATCTACTGAAATGAGACCTGGATCTGGTGCCCCCCCGTGGCGACTCCTGGTGGGCATAGGAAGGAAACGAGACAGGAAAAGAGACAAGAGGAAGATGTCCGACACACCCCAACCCCCACCCCATTCAGCGGCCTTGGTCACGCCAGCCATGGTCCACCGGTCCACCCCCTTCATCTCCACGCGTGTTTGTATACCTAGAGAGAGAACTGGGTCTTGAACTACGAGCAGTTCAAATCTCAAAAGAGCAACCTGATGGGCCTGATTGCAAAAGGGGCCAGGGCCCAGAGCCCGCCTTTCTCTCTCTTAGACCCCGCGGCCCAGATTCCTCTTCATCGACCCGACTTTGATAATATTTAAATTTAGCGAACATAATTTCATAGGGGGTATTATATATTAATACATTTGGTTGGAGAGATTTCCTCGTCAGCCAGTCTTATTCGTGGGGCACACCGAATAATTTATTCACTTTTTCTACCACGAATCGTCCCCCAAAGTCAACCTCGCTGGGTCAGAGCTTCCCACCTGTGTAACCATGGTTAAGCCATATGCTGGTTTGTCCAATACGAACGAAAACCCTTTCACTGACGCTCGTTCAACAGTATGGAAGAAGACGAGCACCTTCTCTTTGACTTTTCCGAATGTCAGAAGTCAACTCGCATTTTGAATGCCAGCGAGAAAGTCGCAGTTTTAACGGAAATTATTAACTACATTAAGTGCAATAAAGTTTAAATTGACCGGTAGAAAACGAATTTAGTTTGAATCAGCAGATGTTTCGTCAAGTCAATGGACACCACGTGTGCCGGCCCTTAGCGACTGCCCATCTCGAGTTCTCCGGCTGGGAGCCCATTAAGTCAACAGCTGGCTCGATGTGCCG